CTCGACAAACCTAGCCCAGCTCCGGTAATGAAAGGTCTTGCGTACTCATTTATCTAGATTCCATACTTAATAAACATGCTCAGGCAATTGACCGGTATTACAATCGGTCACTGCTTTAGTTAAAGGAAGGCATGGTAGTACTTAAATAGAATGAGCCTGACGGCCAATGACTTCGTATTGATGATTAAATTGAAAATATACATAGAGCACTTTCTCTGTCACTGTACTGCTCTTGCGGGCTTTAGAAGACCCTTGGTTCATCATTCTTTTTTTTAATGTGTAGCGGACCAAAATGCAGCTGTGTTCTGTTTTAGATGAGTGGAAGGGAACTAGACGATATCCTCAAACGTTATCACAACAGACCCACGGGACTGCCACTTCAAACTAATCTAGCCTATCCTTCCAATGTAATCTTACTATTATTGTAGATAGTCTTTTTGAGAAATTTCAGTCAATTCTGGCTAAGATAGAGTAGATAGTTCATAAGACTAATGAAAGACAAATGGCAAGATAGTTGGAAACACGGAAACACTTTTGTTATTTTAGCACAAAAATCTTAGAAAAAAAGCTCTTTCATTCACCACTTGAGGTGAAAATCTAATCTCTAATCTCTCCAACAGTCGCAATGGCCGAGTGAACAAAGCAAAAGAGAGCTTTCGAAAGATTCGAGCTCGAGAGTCCCTGCCAGCGGCTTTTTTTCTTACATTTCTCTACTTCTTTTTTTTTTAATAAAACTTTCTTTGAAATTTTAGATTTATTTTTGTAAAAAAAAATACATACAAATTTTTTAATTTAATTTAATTTTCCGAATATTATTATGTTTTAGTTCTTTTTAAATTTGTTTAAATTTAATTTTTCTTAACTTTCAGATGTTATTCTTAAAAAAAAATATTTTTTTTAATTTCATTTAATTTTTAGGAGCCCTTTTGAACTTTAACTTTCAATTTTAAGATTTGATGGTTTAGAAAAAAATATTTTTTAAAATTTAATTTAATTTTTAAAACTTATTTCACTGCTTTCTCCTTCTTTTAATTTACTTTGGTTTTCGTTTTTTTAAGAATTTTCTTTTAATTTGTAGAATTTGTTTTACAAAAAAAAAAAATATTTTATTTTTAATTTTTAAGTATCTACTGTATTGTGATTTATGTTTTTCTTTTTCTAATTTAATTTTCAGATATGTATGTATATATATTTTCATTTTTTATTGCATTTATTTTTTAGAAATATATTTTATTAATTTTTGCTTTATTTTCATTTTATTTTTTTTTTTAATTTCTTTAATTGAAATGTCATTGTATTAGTTTCTATTGTTTTAATAAGAAAAAATATATATTTTTAAACTTTATTTATTAAAAAAAACTTTTTGCTAAAATGCGCACAACGTAACGCTAAGACCTCCTCGTTAGCTGATCTTTCAATAACTCCTTCGAAAGACAGTAAAGAGCTTTTAAGATAGTTGCCAGAATTGACTTTTGTCTTTCGAAAAACTGTGCAGATTGAAAGGCAGTTGGTAGAATTGCCCTGTTACTACATTGAAATAAGGTTCTGCTTTCCCCAAAAAAAAATATTCTTAAGCAGGGATCACACGATTTGTGCATTTTTATATTTCGCAATCTCACAGAGTGGTGTTGTCTATTTAGAAGTTTTGATCGGGAATGAGTTTAGCTCAATATCAACTTTCCAAACAACATGACTCTGTAACGGTGAAAATGTAAAAATCTGTACAAATATACAAATCGTGTGATCCCTACTTTAGATAAGGTGTGTTGTTACTGGGAACAACTAACCAAAATTATACTAATTTTTATCATTGTCTATTCTGGATGTGAATGCTCAATGATGAATTCATTGTTTGCTTAGGAAATTGCACCAGATTCAGCTTTGCCTCTAAACTTCTTTCGCTGCAGCGCAAAGAGGTTGGTTCCGAATTGGTGGCATACCTAAATTCAAAATTTGTATACCACTTTAAGGTTTCCGACAGGGTGGGAAGATGATCTCGTTTAGAACGAATTTGCCTCAACACTTTACAAGGGATGCGTTTCAAAATTCTTTTCAAGTTTAATCGAACAGTAAAAATATAAGATTTTATTAAACACTAGTTGAAGATTACCCAACAAGTATGTATTGTGAAATCAGTCCTCACACGTGTCCGCCTTAAACTTTCACTGCAGGGCTGCATCCAACGACAGCAGTGACACAGCAACGTCCGGCGGCCGCCATATTGCTTTTTCGTGACTTGCCAAACTGCGCCTGCTGCCTGTCATGACAAATTGTCATAAAAGTGATTTTTGGTTTTTGATAAAAGTGCAACAGTCAGCCACTAACTAATTTCGCTATCCGGCAACTTTATCCCACTCCCCAAAACATGTTTGCATGCATTTTCCGCAGCACATTTAGTGACATTCGTGTGGCGATTTGCAGTTCGGCGCACGAAACGATTGGTAATTACCATGTTTACCTCGTTAAAAACAAACATGTCGCCAATAAATGACATCCACCTCCACCCATTGCGAAGTGAGTTAGTTTGAATATAACTATGCATATACATAGGTGTAAGTGCATATCTATGTATATAACTATGAGTGAGTGATTCATTTGAGATGGTTAAGAGGAGAGTACGCAACCGTTGTGCTGGTGGTGTTGGGGTACACTTTTAATGCTATTAAAAATTGCTTAAAAATTTATGACAGGCTCGTGCGCTTAATTGCATTCATTATTTTAATTGTGTAATTCCGATTTTTTAATTTAATGGAAATTGTATTCAAGTGACTTTCACTGGCTTGCAAGTTGGCCAAGTCTGCATAAGAATGCACATACTCGTATGTAAATAAGTATTAATATTAAATTAGGTAAGCGCGAATGTGAGATAATGGTACAATAGAATGTAAAATACCAACTCTGCCTAATGTCCTTATTTTTTATGTACAACAATTGTAGATTAGGCTACAATTAAGTCCATTTTCAAATTGAAAATAATTTATAGGAATAGTTTTAATTAAGGAAATAGATACATATATAATGACAATAATCAGCAGAAGGGCCAAAAAAAAAATGTGTTGCATCAACTGAAATCGATAATTTTAAGATGAGATGATGGCAATCGATATTTCGGTAACCAAGAAAATATTATTTTTTTTTAATTCTATCACAAAATTCATAAAAAAAACGTAGTCCAATTCAAAAGTTAAACATTTGTTTAGTAGTGTAATTAACCCTGCTGTTAGATCAGAAAAAAACTTACGAATCTAACGGTAATTAACCATTTGGGACATACTGTAATTTTCATACAAAATAACAATTTTATCGTACACTAAGTACATCCATTGCCGAGCGAATGTGAATATCTTTCACAGGATTTTATTCTTGTAGAATTTTTGTAACACAAATATCAACTAAAAAATGGATGTTATATGCACATATATGTATGTATGTCTATTTATTTTCTTTACTTTACTTTATAACAAAGACTAGCAAATGCGCGGCGTGCTTCACTGCTTCACTTTATGTTATCGATTTAATTACATAAATTTTTTCAAAAAAGTGGCAACCCTCCTCCAAACATTTTCGGAAGTAAACTTTTCTAAACCTCTTCAGTTTGATAGCCGTATTGTAATATTTCATTATCAATTTAATTACATACGAAATTTAAACAGGTGGCAACCCTCCCCAAAAATATTTTCGGCAGTAAACTTTCCTAAACCTCTTCAGTTAGATACCCATATTGCAATATGCAGTTAAATTTAACTAAAATTTACAAAGAGTTGGCAACCTTCAATAAAAACATTTTCTACTGTAAGCCTGCCTACTTCTTTTGACATTGCAATATTTGCTTTATCTTTTCAATTTATTTAAACTTTTGTTTCCAGACAAGTGGCAACTCTAATTTTTTTTTATATATTAAATTATACCTCTAGCAATACACCGTTGAACACTGAAGACATACACAGACAGACAAAAAATCTAAAAATTGTTGATTTGGCTTCTGTAGTTCTAGTAAAGACCCCCATATAAAATTTTTCTTCAATATCTATAATGTACAGACATCGGCCTGTTACAGTTGTATTATATGTGTAGATATTTTGTTGAGCTATGTATTTCAATTGGGCTTGTTTCCCTTACCACTTTTTTTCAAAACCGTGGACCGGTCTAAACTCTCGATTCTCCTGGGAACCGGACTCAACGGAACCGGTCTTTAAATACTCGGAACCGCACATCACTAGTACATATTTCTAGTGCTATGATAGAATTCATTCCTCTATCTATTGGCATAGAAGAAAGCAAATAAGGGAACGCTAACGAGAAACGCATTGCTGAATTCACTACCTTCGATAGCCAGCTTCAACGGATGCAACACCGTCATCGCCGCTTGTGTTTATTGTCTAAAAGTTTGGAGAAATGTTGAAGAATTCATTGACCAAATATGATTAAGTGAAATTTTAACAGTTACTTTAGTTTCGTCGATCAGCGAATTTTCCCTTATCTTCGAAACTTTCTCAGCGAATGGTACTCACTTAGGCTAAAAACATACTGGAGCGGCGATCAAAGAGTGAAGAGCAAAGCGTACACACATGTTTGTAATTGAAGCTTTGCTCGATGCTAGCTCTTCGCTTTGCTCACCGCTCCACTATGTTTTCACCCTTAGGGTCACTTTCTATGTAGATAAGAAGTATTAGCCCGCACGTCATGTCAAAACGTTCCTAGAAAAGAAATACTCATTTTGACGACAATTCTTTGTTTATATCTTGATTAAAAACATTTTTAATATTCTGTAAACAGAATCGTGGCATTTTGCACTGACGCTGACATTAAAATCTCTATCTCTTTCTGGTTTCAGTTATTCGATGTTGTGGACCCTAATTTTTTCCTCAAAATGCATTTCGTTGTATTTAAAATGAAAACTTTCTATTAGATTACACATTTTTTCTATTAGTACGAGTGCACATTTTTTGGGCTGGCTTTACAACTTTGTGATTAATTTTTTTATTTCCTTCACTTTTCAGACGTCGATATAAACTTAAAGGATACCTCCCGCAAGTTCGGCACAGGCGGTCAAACTCTTACCCCCCGACATACTATTGATGCCATTTTGGGTCTAAAGAATCGCAATGAAGGCGGTGAAGGTAAGTTTAATTTTTTTTAAAACCAGGTATCAGCTATTGATGCTATTAATTTTATAGTTTTTTATTATTTTTATAATTTTCTGGAACCATGATATAGATCGTCAGATTGTGAAAATCCATACACGAGTAGAATATATTTTGAATTGATTAGTTTTCGGTTGATAGATTGTAATTGAAATACATAAGTTACAGCTGTAATACTGATCTGCATATGTTGAACTTTGAATTCAAGATGAAATATCTATTTTTGTACATACATACCGTACCTAGATCTTTTCATTACGCATTTGCAAGGTCCATTTCTAAAACACTGGGATATTTTGTCTAATTTTGATTGCCTCTTTCCTAACAAAACCCCAAATTTTGATGATTTATCTTGTTGTGAACTGTTTGAGAAATACATATGTACATATATATCCATTTTAAAAGATATATTCAAAATTCATTTGAAGCTTTGGATATTTGTAACTCCGATGCTTTTCCAAATGTTCATCAAGTCCTTAGAGTCATAGCTGTTTTACCTTATACGACTACCGCGAATGAAAAAACGTTTTCAACTTTGCGCCGCCTAAAAACTTATTTGAGATCAACTACGAGAGAAGATCGTCTCAATTTTCATCGCAATCTCGATGTTGATGTTGACGTATTATTAAAAGAATTGGTAACTGTAGTTCGGCGAATAGGAGTATTGAAAGCAGAATAATTTAGTATACAACGCTGGTTGAGACTTTTCCTTGAGTTGTTGAATTAAAACTCAACTACAGGCATTTAAAAAATATAAAAAATAAGGCATCCATTCAAACAAAATACATTCAAGTAACCACGCAGTGGCTTTCAACAGAACAAAACGCCAACAATTTTCGCATATTGCAAAAGAAAGTGTGACAATAAAAAAAAATGTTTACACAAATAAATTTATTTGGAGTTAGTCAATCTAAAAACCATCTGCTCTACAAGGGCGATTTCAAGCTCGGCGACATCACCGTCAGACACCAATCAAAATTGCATTATAATCCATTTAAATCGTCTACTAATCCCCGGATTAAAAGCAAAAAAAAAGAGTACCAAAAGCGCACAAAACACACCCACACAAAAAAGCATTAAAACTTTCAAGAAAACAAAGTAAATTTGCAAAGTGTGAAAAGTATAGCAAAACGCCAGCAAACGCCCACTCGCGTGAATTTGTGAAAATGTATAGTAAATAAAACAAATGCGCACGAAGGATAATGAAATCGGCTTAATCCTTTTACGAAATCACGAAATCAGCTAAAGTTGGCATCGGCGAACGCTTTCGCTGGCGCTCGCTATCAGTTGTCGTGCATCTAAATCTGCTAAATTGCATTCCAAACCGAAAAGCGAAGGTGGTAAAGGATGACGCTGATTGTGTTGGAAAGCTAATGCTTAAGAGTATGGAAGAGACATACAAACAAAGTGGCTGTACATCTACATGCTTGCATATAAAATTAGTTATATGTACCTACTTACATAGATATGTATGCCATTATGCCGCTTGAAATAGCATTAATTTTAAGTCAGTTTCTTTTGTACACGAAAACAAGTGTTAATGTGATTTCGCGATTAAGATATTACAAATTGTTAGTCTGCATAATTTCTTAACTCCACGGAGAACTCTTAGTGCAGAATAACTGTTCAATGGATTTAAAAATTAAGAATTAAAAACTTGATTGCTTATTTATTTCTTCTTTTGTTTAAATATTTTTGTGCCTAAACGATCATTCTGGTTTCACATCGATACAGATATACAGCAAATAATAATGTTTGCCAGTTATAGTTGCTAAGCAAAGTACAAACATTTAAAACAACAGAAAAATACAATTAGAGCCAATTTTCCCTACAAGGGTTACATGTTATTGAGGCGTATTACAAAAGTCGTCAACCTAAAAATTTAAAAAGTGGTTTGGTAATATAGAGATCACAAAATTCCATTGACCATTGACATGGTGTGTATTAGAGCGTAACCTGCAGAAAAAATTATCAAATGTTAAAAATATCCCACTTTTAGTTAAACTTTTGCTGGATTTCGATAAAATATGTATATAACTTTTAGTTCAGTACAAAAAGCTACCTTAAAACTAGTTAAAAAGTAAAGCCGGAGTCATGTAGACGTAATCGGGAGTTTGTTTTTTAAATATCCGCATAAAAATTTTACTTTAAACACACAATTTTTTCTGCACTTCCCAAATACTTTTTCCAAGTCAGGACAAATAAAGGTCGAAATTTTATGTTATCATTTTGAGGTTACGTCTGACAGAATTGAATATGGGATCATCTACAGCTGAATATGTAAACAAATATGTAATGTTAAATAAAGTAAGTAAAAAATAAAAAAATAAATGTTTTTCTTTTTGATATTTTATGTCCAAAAGTAGTTTGTTACAAGTTAGTTGACATCTCATGCAGAGGTAACCAGCGTTGACTATTTCGCGGCCATCGCCATGGAAATATAGTTAGCTCTCCCCAAGGAAAATATACAGAGAATAGTGATCTTTAGTTACTTCCTAATCAGCTTACAGTTAGCCACATTTCCTGCAGGTTAGTTTAGGGCTCGCTTAGATTATAGATCTAAGATAGATTAAGTTTATTCGTAAATCATGCAGATTTAAGTGCGGTTAAAAGGGTCAAAACAATGGACGGCATGTAGTCTGAGTGCTGTTTTCAGCACGCGTTGTTTTGCGCCTGGTTCGGACAAAAAAAAACCTGACCTAAAAATCAGCAAAAATGTTAAGCACGAAAATGGAGCAAGATGACTACCCTAGGATACATCGGACGTAGGTTAGATTGGGTTAGGTTGTGGCGGCAGACCCGAGAGGATCTCTATTAGGCATTTAATTCGACCAGTTTTCACGCAGCGGTTGAAATTCAACCTTTTAATTTAAGGGAGTTGGGGTGGGCTGAGCTGAGCCAAATTGGGTTTAGTTGAGTTGATTAAAGTGAATTAAGCGGAAATGCATTGAACAACATAACAGAATATAACTTAACATAACATAACACAAAAGAATACGATACAACACAATACGATACAAAACGATACAGCATAACTTAATATAACATAACACAACAACATTACATAATATAACACAACATAAAATAACATTACATTACATAACATAACATAATATGGCATAACATAACATATTACAACCACAACGCAAAACAACACAACACAACACAATTTAACACCATACAATACAACAGAATAAAACACAACACAACACGAAACAACACAACAAAATACAATACAACACAACACAACACAACATAATACAATACAACAAAATACAACACAACATGATATGTCATCCCTCAATTGTATCTTTTTCTTTTTCTCTTTTTTTTTGTCCCTATCTTTGTGTATATTCGTATACACATACATATGTACGTGCACTTTTCATCGCCTTCTTGACCTTTATTCAATATCCTGTTGGCTTCCTTTCGGTGCCGCTTTGTATTTGTACTTGTATTGTGGGAAACATGTTAATGTTGAAATAATAGTTGCAAGTGCTATGTAATCACTGCTAAAGTTGTCGGAATATTTATGATTTATTGCCATTTGAGCAAAGCAGCATTTCGTTTGTTAGTTTTAAAAGTTCTTTATTTCTCCTCCAAAATTTCTTATTGGCTAAGTAAGGCATATTCCATTGATGGGGACGTTGCGTAACGTTGACACATTATTGAGTATAAACGCAACTTAAGGCAGTCACTTTCACTGCCGGAACAAAGTTTTGGCACAGCAAATTTTTCACAATATATGCAACAATTTTCGCCAATTTTTTAGAATAATATGGTTCTTTCCACAACAAAAAAACATAAAAATATAATTCCTAAACTTTGGGCAAAACTCGCAAAAATTCAGCAAACTTTCAACTTTTTAATAAGATTTTTTTAAATTATTTAAGTATGCAGATTTGTAGCCCAATCAATTTTATTATAATAAAGTACAACTTTTAGGTAACTAGGAATTACCGTTGATTTTTGGCAATTTTTTTCACGTAGTCTCTTCCATACAAAAATTTTTTTTCGAAAATACTTTATATGGAAACAAGTAATTTTTAGCGAAAAAAAACCGACTTCAATTCTCATATAAAAAAATATATATATCGGATCTAAACCGGACCACCTCTGAGACATTACCTTTCCGATGCAAAAAGAATTAAATATCGGAATCGGTTGACGTGGTCCAAAATTATGCGGTAACATACATAAAAAAAAGGAACAGTCCAGCGCCTTCGTCTTGGTCTGCAGGCTGTATCGGAGATACACCCGCTAAATTTAAACGTAGAATACGTGGTATGGTTAAGAGCATATCCAAGTCAAAAACGAAAGCACAAACTAAGAAAAAAATATCGATAACAAAAGCGATAATAAAATCGATAACAAAATCGATAAAAATATCGATAACAAAATCGTTAACTAAATCGATTACAAAATCGATAAAAAATCGATTACAAAATCNTTTGTGAAGCTCTAAAAATTACAACTACAACATTTGAACATAGCCCCCATACCTTAAGGTAAGACGTATTCTACGTCAAAAATGCAAAACATCTTTAACAAAAAAAAATCTCAAAAATCAATGCGATTTTTGACTACCTCCGAGCATACATTTTTGTACTAGAATTTAATGGGCTGCAAAGCTGCATACTAAAAAAAAAATCGAAAAAACTGATTAAAAAGTTGAAAATTTGCTGAATTTTCGCTAGTTTTGCACAAAGTTTAGGAGTTATATTGTTATGTTTTTTGTTACAGAATGAACCATATTTTTATACAAAATTTGCGGAAAAATATTAGAATACAAATTTTTGCATATAGTATTATGAAAAATGTGCTAGCCAATACTTTGTTCCGGCAGCGTATGTATCTATAATTGTGCATTCAAAACCACCGACACCTACGTATGTATATATGTATGTGTGTATATGAAATTGTCATGACACACGCCCAGTAAACAGACTGAACAAATGCCTCGAACATTTAATTAA